ACGTTACGAACCGTGCGTCAAGAATGCTGGGTTTTGTGCTTAGAAACAGTAAAGGTTTGCGCAGTAACAAAACTAAGATACTTTTGTATAATTCCCTAGTGCGAAGTATTTTGGAGTATTGTTCAGTTGTATGGAGACCTCATTATGCAACCCATTCTCTGCAACTCGAGCGTATTCAAAAAAGGTTCATGCGTCATCTAGTATTCTCTAATGGGATCTCAAAGAAGAAACTACCATCTTATAGGACGCAATTGAGACATTTCCGAATGAGTTCCCTAGAACAAAGGAGGATAACGATTGATTTATCTTTCGTGTCCAAAATATTTACCCATAAAATCGAGTGCCCTCAATTACTAAGTATATTTAACATACGTGTCCCAGTAAGATACCCTCGGAATAAAGTAACTCCTCTATCTCCACCGCTTCGAAAAACAGTGTTCGGTTCAAATCTCCCATCTCCAGACTGTGCAAATTGGTAAATGAATATAGTGACCGACTAGATATTCACAATGACTCACCTAACAAGATTCGCTCTATTATAATAACTCCCAATTAATTACAATTAAATATACATTTTTACCCCCGTAGTTACTTTTTTACTTAACAAATATTTCCTGCAATTATGATGTTCTTGTTGTAATCCAATGTTTCATTGCGTCTTTACTTGTATTTTTTTTTATTATTTACTGTTGTTATTAACTTGATGTAGTTTCAAGTTGTCAATTGCATTGTCCATCATGTAAAAATTGCAAGTGGTATTTACCTGTAATTGTTTGATGCATTTAGTTTGTATTTTTTTTTTGCTAGCATAAGTTCCTATAATTGTAACAATGTACTCAAGCGTTGGTAAATCTTAAATAAATAAATAAAATAAAAAAGAATGTTCTTCTCGGAATTTTCCTAAATATTCCGAAAAATTAATGGTTGCAACAACGCGTCGCAAAGTTTAGATAAATATAGTCTACCTAACTATCCCAAATGACGTCAGTTTTTAATGTACATAAGTGATTTCCCTAATCCCGAAAAGATCCGGGCCAAAAAACATTGTCCTAAGGTAGTCTCCACTTTTTGTCTATCAAATCAAATTAAATCAAGTATCTGTATTTCGTAGGTAATCAAATTACACTTGAAATTGTCACATTAAACAAAAAAACCATTAGTCTTAGCAGGTTGATTTCATTACATCACAAACATTCAATAGCTGTAAGTATCTATGTAATCTTTGATTTTATAATAAGCTTTTCTAATTAGTAAATTTTGGACAATTTTCGAAATTTTATTATAAAAACGTATACAGTGCTCTGCGTACAAATGATGAGCTAGCTTTATCAACTCTAAGCATAGGAGTCGCAAGTTTATTTTTGTTTCTAAAATGAAGGTTATGCCTATCACTGTTTATCGGAAATAATGCTACATTTCTGCGAACATACATTGTATTATATACACATACAGTTTGAACATATAGTGAATAGCGACATCTCTATATATAGATAGCTGTAAAGGTATCTAACTGGGTGACCAAATACTTTCATAGATTTCTCATAGATGGCGCTACGGCTAAATAGTCGTTGAAAACCTAAATACAAAGACGCGACAACAAGCACGTAGCAAAATTCGTGTGGTCTGCTGGTGCGTTCCATGACTTAGTTGGAATAGTGTCTGGCACGGTATGCTAGAAGACGTCGGTTCAAATCCGGCCGGATCGAAGGAATTTTTCTGAGTTTTCGATCTTCGTGTTCTGTGTTCCGTGTTTGTGTACTAATAATTATAACAAACTGGTGCAGTAATTTCACATAAATATAATGGAATATAAATTCAATATAAATTTAAATACATTATATTTACAAATATAAATTGACTTGGCAGAGTTATTGATTTGATTCTTTAAATCGTTCCCTTAAAGTATAATGGCGAAAACTGGCGACCTAACTTATATATTGCACGTACAGTTCTTTTTTGTAGCACGAATATCGAATATCGAAATAGTTTGAATGTCTGCCGCTCTTCCCCACAACAATATGCCATAAGCCATAACGTTATGAAAATAACTAAAGTAAACTACGTTTGTCTCTGTTCCTGGCAGTTTAGCTAAAAAAACTCTTCCAAGAGTAGATGTTTGTGATATCGAGGATCGATTACTAGCTGATTTTTGTTATGATGTGAGATGGGCCACTTTTTATTTTTAATTATTTATTGCTGCGCAAATTCGTGTTACATTTGATTTAAACTAGTGCATTTATTTTTTAACTTGGCAATATTATTGTGAAGATATGCAGGGAGAAAATTCGGCAGCATTAGTTGCGGCTGTACTCATTACCATTCCAGTACCGTTCGCACAACGGACAAAAACAATACCTTTATATACATGTACTTATTTTCAAGTACGGGTCGAACGAGATAAATTTGCACGGGGAGTGGTTCCAATAATAAATGTTTGCTTTCTCTTTGTTTGAATAATGGCTGACAAGTTTAATTGAGGCCTTGTTCAATCAACCTTCAACCTTGATGATGTAGACGATAAAGTAGATAATTAACATTTATTTAGTGCTCGCTTCACTAGTGTCTTTATTTTTATTATAAAACATTTGTTGAATAGTTTTTAATTATTTGTAAATAGCAAAGGAGGGTCTTATTTTAGAAAGAACAAAATGTATATAGACTAAGATATTTAAAAAAAATATAAGGTTTACGAATTGGTTGGGTTGGGTTACGAGTATATATTCATTTACCATCACATCCATAATAAAACTAGTCTGTAATATTTTCTTCTAAAACTTCCATTTATCTATATGTCCGCCGTCCGTGATGTCTCCCCCAACTGTATCTTTTCAAGTTTATTATTGTTTTTATCTATCAACCCAGAAATCAATTTCCATTTGTTGAAAACGTTACCACCGACGCTTTTACGCTTATTGCCTTTGGGAATTTACAGCAAAAACTTTGTCGACGTTCCCTTGTGAACTGGGAGAAGCTTTTGTTACACGCTCTCAGAATGGTTCTGTAGAATTATGAAGGAATTTTCGGGAGTTACGAAAGGACCGTTTTTGGGCCTACCAAGTCTTTGAATAAAGTTCAATTTATTACATTAAAGCAAAGTAAGTCTGTACTTGATAAAGGCAAACTTTTTGGGAGAAGAAAAAACGAGTGCGTGCGTGAACAAAGTCAGGCGCTCATGACTGTTTGTGTAATTTGTAATTGCTAGTCCTTCCTTACACTACAATCGAGTAAAATGTAATCTTTATCCTAAATGTAAGTAAGCACTTCCCCTCATTGTGAACAGTTAAAATTAAAATGATCTGTGCTTATGGACCTTTTCAAACTATCATCACCTTGACATAAAGTTGCATGTTCAGTTATTCTTAAGTGCTTTATGATCTTTGAGGTCAGTTGATTTTTATTCATTCAAGACGATTCAGATATTTGTTATCGCTGTAAACGCGCTGATAATTTTAACGCTGACTGTGTCTTTGAAATACGTTTTATCAAATTTTTTCATAAAGAGATTACCTCAAACAAACATTGATTAATTTACTAAGCGCGCGGTACCGCGGCGTAAATATCTGCATCTAAAAACGTACTTATTCCCAACTCAATGAATAAAAGCTTTCCAAAGCTCCACGAATGTAAATACCCGACGAGCTTCAATCTTAAAGAAGAACAACAGACGTTCAAACTTAAATCTCACTTGAAATAAAAAGGTAATGTCTGGCGTAATGTTTTCGACTTTTCGGCTATTGGACACGGAATGTCCATTCGCAATGCTGGTGTAGTGGAAACGACTATGGGGTCTTAATAAACTGAAATTGGAATAGAAACAGAATATTTATAAAAATTTCAAGGAAGAAATACACTTAGAGTTTGATGGCATTTTCTTCAGTGTTTAGTCATCTGCTAAGTGTAAGCCTCCTCTTCTGCAAGCTATTCTTTCCGATTTTGGGCTATTGTATCACAGTTTATCGACTGTCTGTTCATTTATATAGCAGATAGCCACGGTCCTCCCTCAGGTACGCAGTTCCACGACGGTGAGTTTTATCACAACACCTCAAATTGAGACGATTTCAAGTCACCAACTCATCGTGTCTGTTATTGTTAAATGTACTTTACCAACAGTACACCACTTTTTATTATGCGTATCGTTTCGTTGGCACACACAGCAATGCTTGTTCGTGGTGAAAGGATTTGCTAATCGGCGATGGCTCTCGCCTAAATGAATAGCACGTCGTGCGGAGAGGGTTTCGTGCACCCCATTTTTCATCGTATTTTTATGAGTCGAGTGGGTCGTTAACAAACGCCTCAATTTGAAATGCTATGATGCATTTATCGCACGCACTCGTTTTTTCTTCTCCCAAAAAAGTTTGCCTTTATCAAGTACAGACTTACTTTGCTTTAATATAATAAATTGAACTTTGGAACAAAAAAGTATTTACAATTTAAAAAGTATGTAAGTCGCCAATCAGTAATGTGAGCATTACTGCGTTACGGTTTTGAAGGGTGCTGGTGAAATTACAGGTACATGGGACTTGTCAATTGGTGTCTCAGGGGACAGATGTTTAGCTAACCATCAGGCACACGACTTCTTCGTCCCGTCACTTGATAATATAAAAAAAACAGCCTATCAGACTAACTCCAACCACGAGGACTTCGAGAAGAATGTGCCTGTAAGTGGGAAAATGTTATTATGGATTGATTATAATGATATAATTTAACAGGACGTTATAATGTAAATGTACCGACAGTGTAGTGAAATTAACAGGATTCCTGAGATTATTTAATTGAGTATCATAAAAAACATTTGAACTCACATGTTACCTCGAGTGCTTGCTCCATAGCTTGTCATTTCATTTTTATTTTGTTGCGTTTCTCATAAAAAATTTTTTATGAGATTGATAAGCTAAATTAATTTTTTAACAAACCATTTTCGATTATAACACTGTTGCAATATATGCTGTGATCTACTTTGTAAACGACATGTTTATTTAACTTCAGCTTATAAACTCCAGTAAAAATTGAATTATGTAAAAATGTGTACCGGGAAGTTATTGGGCCAGTTGTTAGTCCTGTTTTTGAGCGCACAAACTAGCTATACAAAGATAAATGATAAGAAATTGCTTCGCGTCGTTGGAGGACAAAGTGCTTCTTATAAGAAATACCCATACGTAGCAAAACTGGACATTCTAACCATTATTGGAGATGATGCTTACCGAGTACCCGTTTGTACGTGTTCTATATTAACACCAACCTGGACTTTAACATCATCTCACTGCTATGTAAATTTGAACGGGCAACCAAATGCTACCTTAATGGTATGGTACGGCAGCACTTTACCGATGGTAAAAAATGAAAAATTAAGCAAAGTTCTTAAGTTTATAATTCATCCATCTTACAAATTATTGGGTGATGACGACAACGTCTATAGTTTGGAAAATGATATAGCGCTGTTAAAAACAGACCCAATAATATTGCCTAAATATGGCAGAGTCAGTTCTGTAGATTATATGAGCCTTGTGGGCTTTAAAGCAGTTATAGCTGGTTTTGGGATAACCAATTATACAAAGTTAAGCGAAATGTTTTTCGCCCACACCTTAGAATTGAACATGCCATTACAAACTCTCAATGTACTTATAAGACGTTGTGATAGTGATGCGAAAATATATCCAGGACTTTGTTTAGCCAGTAAATGTAGAGAATCAGTCGGCATTTGCGCAGGAGATTCCGGAGGTCCACTTATCTATAATTCTCGGATCGTTGGTTTAAGTTCAATGGGAGCTGAAGAAGACTGCAATAATTTAACTGAAGATCGGTTTAAACCTCATTATGTAGGTTTTATTACTGCTGTTAGTCCCTTTACAGAGTGGATTGGAAAAGTTATAAATGAAAATGCTAAGGTCTCTGCCCATCCCGATGGGGAAAGGGTGTGATGTATAAATGATAATAATAAATAACGCAGATATAAGATGGACGATAAGAAATTACTTCGTATCGTCGGAGGACGAAGTGTTTCTTAAGGTAAATACCCACATGTACCAAGACTGGAACTTTTAAAAATTATTGCAGCTAAAACTCACCGATCTCACGTTTATACGTGTTCTATATTGACATCAATCTGGACTTTATCAGTAACTCACTGCTCTGTTAACTTAGCAAAGACACCTAAATTTACCTTAGTGACACGGTACGGCAGCAATTTTCCGTTGGAAGAAAAAGGAAATTCCAGTGAAGTCTTTAAGTTTATACTTCATCCATCTTTCAAATTTTTGGGTGACCCACAAAAATGTATAGCTTGGAAAGTGATACAGCACTATTGAAGACCTAGTAATATTACTTAAATATGGAAGGTTAGGAAATATTTCGTAGATTACATGAGCCTTGTTGGCTTCACAGCTGTTAGTGGCCGGTTTTGGGCGAACAAATTATACAAAGTTTAATGAAATTTTGTTCCGCCACCATTGAACATGCCATTGCAATTTGCCACAAAGTCTCAATGTGTTTATAAAACGTTGTGCTAGTGATGTCTCTGTGAAAACATATCCACGAATTTGTTTAGCTAGAATTTGTGGTCAAACAGTCAGCGTTTGCGCAGGAGATTCCGGAGGTCCGCTTATCCATAACTCCCGGATCATTGGTGTAAATTCACTGGCATCTCGTAGGGACTGTAGTGATAAAATTGAAGATCATCATAAAAGTATCATTTCTGCAGCTAATCCCTTCACAGAGTGGATTGGGAAGGTTATAAATGAAAGTGCTGTGACCTCTTCACACCCTGATGGGGAAAGAGGGTGAAGTATATAATCAGAAATTAATCGCAAACATTAAGCCGGCCGTGAAATAATAACGTCAGTTGATTGCAATTAATTCATTCCCTTTCAAGTAACTCCCACAAAAAGCTTATCAATGTGCAGCGATATTCACATCATCGACAGACACTTGCGACAGACGACCCATCAATATATTAGGAAACCGATTCATGTAATTTAAGCCGGCGAATATGTCAGTCGTATTGCTATATAGTTCACCTTTTATTTCACGTCCCATTAGGTACGTTGGGATTGTTGTTCATGATAGAGTCATCATGAACAATAATCTGAACGCCGTTGCACCATGTCGTTGGTAGTGCCCCAGCGTGCATTTCTTTGCTTTGTGTAACTTGTACGAATTCCCTAGTTTGAAACTTTTTAAAGATAAAATAAGTGCGCATTTGACTTCCATCTCACCTGATGGAAAGGAACGATAAGGTCCACGATGAAGCATGTATACACACTTAAATAATACCTATTCTCTCTCGCCTTGAAAAGACTCAAGCGTTAGTGGAAATAAATCTGCAGGCAAGGAATTCCTAATAATAATAAACCACGCACTCATATCCCCGCACTAGGTAAACCCTGTATCGCGGGTCATATGTCCACATAGATAACCACAAATTACACCCAAACTCACGAGAGAAATAAATGTAGGCCATACAAATATTTCTCCCGGCTCGGGAATCGAACCTGGCACCGAGGCAGTTTACAAATACATATTCATATTCCATTAATACAAATACATATTCTATTTAGTTCAGTTGATATTAAAAAGAACCGTTGGAGTACCTGTAAAATTTCGAGGTAACTTTGTATTCTTTTTCTGTATAGTAATCAGTATATTTTACTATATTGTATGTATTTTCCAAAGTAATTGTTTAAACACTTTCACTGTTATACGAAATCAACCATTTGAGTTAGAATAGACTCTTAAGTATAACAATAAGGTTCCCCATTTATAGATAAATTTCAAATTTTGAAAGCCATCTGCAACTGACTGGTTAATTAAAGGAAGAGTTAATTAAAACTGCGTTCTATTTCCAATATTTCCCCAGCTTAAAAGCTGTTATAAATAGAGCTTTTTGCAGCTGCATAAAAGCTAAAAACTTTTAAATGAGTTGCTATGCCAAACGCGTGTTTTTTTACTAGTTCCATGGTTTTAGACGCCATAATTTTGAATGAAAGTATTTTTGGGATCTAAATCGTAAATCTTTATTTTTTCAAACAAACAACGTTTCGGGCCCTTTACAGATATAATAAATATGTATAAAGATACACTATAAGGATTATAAACATAGTTTAATTTCCTATATGTAACAATCACGAAAATCCAAAAATTTTATGAGGCTTATTATCACGTTTAATATTCTAAGTTTAATTCATTTTGAAATATAGCCGATTGTAAATGTAAATATTTGCGGAACAACTTTTTTATCAAAATTTAATTAAAAAAATTAAATTAAAAAAATAATGTAAAACATTTATAATCCAATCGTCTCATAATGAACTAGCAAAGTTACCTGAAAATGGGCCTTTTACTTTGAGGGTACGGGTTAACAGCCTCTGACACTTACTCATTATCTCGTAGTTTATTAAAAATAATAGAGAAATGTGAAGAAACATAAATGTGGAAATAGAATAGATGTAACCCTGGAGCATAGTAAAATTAAATAATATCTCCATAAACTCAGAATAACACGTAAACTCAAACTTGTAAAATGACAACATCGAGACTTCAAAGTTTAATTCGCTTTGTTCTAAACTGTCGAACTTCGTAACTTTAATATATTTAGTGCTGGAAACTATGTTACTAAAACTTTTAGATGTAAGTCGTCATGACACTTCAACAATAACTTTTAATAACATTAAATGTATGTGCTATGTACATGTTGAAAGGTATCATTTTCTGTTGCTTTCTGTCCCTCATTTTTGGTTGATTGCAACTACTCTACGTTTATGTGTTGTGCTAACGCTCGCGTGTAGCTTGGTGAACAATAAATACAGTAGAAGTGGTTAGTTAGCGTCCGACATGTGCTAACTATCGGCCTCGAAAGACCTATGTGAGCTCAGTACGCCATTTTATGGTATGGTTGTTCTTTCATGCAAATTCTCTAAAATGCTAGAAAATTGTGCTGAATTTTGTGCTGTTTTGGAGTGCAAAAATGATGGCCGCACCAACAATATTACCCGTGGTGGTATATCAAATCATCGGAAAGTCTTATTTTAGTAAATTTTCAATTATCTGTTTATCGACATCATTTTTTTGTTCCATTAAACGAAAGTAAAGCTTATGACCCGGTAATATAGTCGCTTCGTTTTTGGAGAACTAAATTAATAACCCCAATTCGTCGTCGTTCAGCAATTAGCTATTAGATGGCAGCACATTGATTGCAATTTCAGTAATAATATCAAAATGTCCTAACTTACAATAATAGGTATTGATGGTATTGAACGTTCATCGATATGCCAGCGTAAAGTTTAAATTAAATTAACGATCCAGAACTTGTTATTTCTTTTTAAATTTGAAACTACGACTAATTAATATCTGTAATAAGTTCTTATTGGGGTGACAGAAGGAAACCAGGTTTTTCCGTAATGGTGGTTTTTTAATTGACAACATACACAGTATGTACAACGTCGGTGGTATAGTGGGAAAGGACTCCCCCTAATCGGCACGTAGTCGAGGACCCGTACGCACGTTCCAATTAGGAAGCGGCTCAGGGTGCAACAACTACGTGTTACGTTCTAAAGCGCAGTTCCAATAAGGAAGCAGCGCTAGATGCGTAGTAAGTTGGATTACATTCATGTTCGCATAGCCGCCAGTAGTCATTCCGCGAGGGAAAATCTTAACACCGCGATGCAGAATTTGCGATTTTGACGTCAATGCCATCTAGCGGTGAGTGACGGAACTAATATGAGTTGTTGCCTCTTATGTGATTTTGTTACATATCAAGATTTTGCAGTGTTTCAAATTAAGAAGCAGCATATGATTACCGGAGTGTGATCATGATGTCAACATTTTTAAGTGTCGAAATGGGTGAATTTCGGATTAATTGAAATGACGGTAGTGTTCGTGAAAAGAAATTTTTAAAGTGGATTTGTTCCTACTATTAAAGAGTATAAAAAAAATTATTGAAATCTGTGTTACCTGGAAAGCTTGCTGAATATTCTATTATTTCATTTTTATTGTGTATCGTTCTCATAAAAAAAATACGTTTATGTGATAACCTGAATAAATTTTTATCAAAACTGTTTTCGTTTAAAATGTTTTACAATCTATGTTGTGGTCTACAATGTAAACGACAGGCTTGTTCAATGTTAAGCAATTACTTGTGACCACAACGACTGTCGAATAATTGTGATTGTAAAAATGTTCAACCGAAAGTTATTAGGCCAGTTGTTTGTCTTGTTTTTGGGCACACAAAGTACTTATATGAAGATAGACGATAAAAAATTACTTCGCATCGTTGGAGGACTAAATATTTCTCACGGTAAATACCCATATGTAGCAAGACTGGAACTTTTAAGATTTACTGCAGCTAAACCTCGCCGAGCTCACATTTGTACGTGTTCTATATTGACACCAACCTGGTCTTTAACAGCATCTCACTGCTCTCTTAGTTTATCCAAGGCACCTAACTTTAGCTTAGTGATACGGTACGGCAGCACTTTGCCGTTGGACGAGAAAGGAAATTATAGCAATGTTCTTAAGTTTGTACCTCATCCATCTTTCAAATTTTTGGGTGACACAAAAAATGTTTATAATTTGGAAAATGATATAGCACTCTTGAAGACAGATCCAGTAATGTTGCCTAAATATGGCAGAGTCAGTGCCGTAGATTACATGAGTCTTTTTGGCTTCAAAGCTGTTGTGGCTGGATTTGGGCGAACAAATTATACGAAGTTAAATAAAATATTTTTCGCTAGCACGCTACGATTGAACATGCCATTACAAAGTCTCAATGTACTTATAAAACGTTGTGCTAATGATATTTCTGTGAAAGTATACCCAGGAATTTGTTTAGCCAGAAAATGTGGTCAAACAGTCAGCGTTTGCGCAGGAGATTCCGGAGGTCCGCTTATCCATAATTCCCAGATCATTGGTGTAAATTCACTGGCACCTCTTATGGACTGTAGTGATAAAATTGAAGATCGTCTTAAAAGTCGTCATGTAGGTATCATTACCGCCGCTAGTCCCTTTACAGAGTGGATTGGGGAGGTTATAAATGAAAATACGGTGGCCTCTTCCCACACTGATGGGAAAATAGCGTGAAGTATAATATTGCCATAGGTGGAAACCTGTGATTGCCTTTATGTTTATATTCCTGATTTTATTAAATGTAAGAAGCTGTTGGTTTTCCACGAATGAATAAATATATATCAGAATGTAACTACAAGGGAAACGTTCTGGGAAATACCTTTGTATTTGACTTGTATTTGATAATTGGCCTATACATTATCGATTCGTTCAGCCGGCGGTGAAATAATAACGTCAGTTGATTTGGTTATTAATTATGTGAACAACAAAACAGATATCAATCAAATTACTTGATAAAAGTTAAATAGGATATTACAAAGCTCTCTATCAAATCGCAATACTATGCATAGTTTTACTAACTGAAATGAATATTCTCATGGGAAGGTATCACATTTAGACTGCTATGCTATGGTTACGAATGCGGTTCAGTTTGGTTTACCAAAAAGACAGAAGTACTATGGACTCGTGTATGTTGACACATCATTGAAAACTAACAAGAAACATCTACTTACTGCTCATAATTTTACTTATCATCATCATCATTTCACCCAACATCCAATGCTGAACATAGGCCTCTTCCATAGAATGCCACAACGATCAGTCCTGCGCCGCTTGCATCCAGCGCATTCCCGCAGCCTTCACCTGATCATCAGTCCACCTTGTGGGTGGTCTCCCACGCCGCGTCTACTGGTACGCGATCGCCACTCGAGAACCCTTCGGCCCCATCGGCCATCTATTCTTCGAGCAATGTTCCTCGCCCATTGCCACTTAAGTTTCGCAATTCTTAGGGCTATGTCGGTTACTCTGGTCCCTGAATTACTGATTTGATCTCGCAACGAAACTCCGAGGATAAACCGAAACCCTTTCCATTGCCCTTTGAGTGACCTTGAGCCTTCATAAGAGACCCATAGCGAGCGACCACGTCTCAGTGCCATAAGTCATCACTGGCAATCACACTGGTCGAAGGCTTTTGTCTTGAGACACTGTGGGACTTATTTAGTTAATATACTTGCAATTAATTAATTCATTTGTAGACATATTCATGTCTTTCTTGTCAATAATCGCTTGAATATATTTATATAATTATTGACCATAACTTACACTCCTTATTTTCATAAAGTGACCCTGAGCACGGTCATCATGTCATAGGACCTATGACTGATTAAACTGAAAGGATTCAAACTACTTCCACCAGCGCCACCCCGTTTAAGTTGTCAAACTGACGTAACCTTTATAAACAAAGAAAACATGATAGATACTAATCAATTAATGTGATTCATGGATACTGTTGGATAATTTTCGGAAATGTGCTTCGCTTAGAAATATGTTTTGGCGTGACTTTGTAAAATAAAGCTGTATAGCTAAAACCAAGATATGAACAAACGAGATTTTAATATTAATAATAATAATAAATTTCTTTATTTCGGACTAAGTCCATAAGGGTTAGTAACAAAACACTTAAAAAGCACTTAAAAATAGGGTTAGTATTACAAATTGCTTATTTTACAATTTATTATTATAGGCCACAAAACCAATGTGCATCTTAGACCAGTGATCTAGGAAGCAACCCTGTACACGGTTTGCAATTATACTCAGGAGGCTGTTATCGCCGCCCCGAATCCTGCGCAACAAAGAAGCCGCCCTTTTTCGCATGATAGCTGAAAAGCCATCTAAGCGAATCGCGGCGACCATTCCCGGTGCATTGCAAAATCGAAGTAGCTTCAACAGCATCCTGAATAAATTATTATACAACACACGGAGGGAGCTTAGAACTTTTTGGGTGTAATTGACCCATAGGCTACATGTATAAAATGACTGACAGTACGCCTTGAACAACATAAGTTTTACGTCGTCAGTACACCTAGCAAACCTACGAGTCAACATGTTGCCCCTCACTGCTAGCGCCCTATGCTCCCTTTCAACATCTAAATCGTCCTTTAAAGTCTCAGAGACCCAGTGCCCTAGGTACTTAAATTCGGTGACTCTTTTAAAAGGAGTGCCACACAGAGTAACTTCGGGCACAGTGCTACAGGTTTTGCTACCCGATTTAAAAACTAGCAACTCACTCTTACTCGCGTTGTACCTAAGACCATGAGCATATACCATAGACCATAGACCATACCTATGACCATTTTGTACATATGCCTAACAATTTCCGAAGAGCACTTATTGAGGGACTCAGCAACACCATGTCATCCGCGTAACTAATATTATTCACTATTATTCCATCTATCGAGCATCCGACCGCTAAGCTCATCAATTAAACTATTCATGTAAAGGTTGAAGAGAGTTGGCGAACTTAACCCACCTTGTCTCACTCCACACTCTAACCTGTACATGCTCGACATCGAGCCTCCTCATTTTACAAAATTATTCTAGTTACAGTACCAATACTTAAATAGACCTATAAATTCTCTTGGAAGACTGGTCTCCTCCTGCAGCTTTGTCCATAACCTGTCATACGATACAAGATCGAAAGCTTTCGACAGGTCAAGGAAACAAGCATAGATTGGAGTCTTCCTAGAGGTATAATACTGGACAGTGTGCTTGAGGCAAAGGATAGCAGCTTCTGTAGATAGACCTGGTCTAAACCCAAATTGTGCATCTTGTAACTTCAGATGCCTCCTCAAGGGCTTGTCAAGCAAACTGTCCAGCACCTTTCCAATGATAGTAGCCAAGGATATAGGTCTATAGTATTTAAGGCAAGAAATGTCTCCCGTCCTGTTCTTCACTACAGGCACTACAACTGTTTTATAAGTTCCTGAGGCAAGTATGAGTGGCTGACGCACAGCGTAAAAAACAGGGCGAGTACACTGTGTAGGTTTTCACTACCGTACTTCAAATACTCCACACTGAGCGAGTCATGACCCGGCGATCTGCCGCGTGTCAGGCCCCCGATGGCGGCTGCAACTTCCTTCGCAGAAAAATGTACATGCGGCTGCCCGTTTACTTTGCCATCAAGGAACTGACCCACCGCTGGCCCCAGAGGTGACTTTAACTCAAAATGAGTTTTAAATAATTCCGCAATCTGAGCAGGCTCACACACACCCTCAATACTGACAGGTAAGCTCGACTTCGGGCTTAGCTTATTTGTCTCTTTCCAAAAATCTGAAATTTTTTTACTTGAATGGAGAGACGCTAATAAATCCATACGTATTTGGTTTTTATTGTCTTGGCACCATTTAAGTTTTGACTTAAATAGGTTCCTAGACTCCTGCATTCTTTTATATACAAGCCCGTATCTAGGTTTGCCACAGTACACCCACTCTAAAAAATAAAGTCGTGCCTCTCTGTGATACACAGCAACACATTTATTCCATCCGATTACTCTTGGTTTCTTATTTCATATGTGCTTATATTTAACTATATTACTCTGTATTGCTGCTTTTGACAGAATATCTATAATTAATCCATACATATCGTCTTACACTTTTCTATGCTGTACATTGTTACACATCTTGTTACTACACCTATTTAATTCAGGAGGAAAATTTACATCTTTAAAATGATTAAAACAATAATTTGTATATAATTCGATCTGCCTCTCATCTCTCTCCCCCATATAATTTCACTTTTATGATTAAAATTTGTTGCAATTTTAGGCCTAAGGATGTTTAGGTTACATTTTAATATCACGGGATAGTGATCCGACCAGGATACATCATATTTTACATGCACATCCTCTACTGTGCTTCGTACGGCTTCCGACACTACACAGTGATCAATCCAACTTCTAGTCCCATCTATGTCACTCTGGAACGTATAAATATCTGATGTTTTACCCACCCAGTCCAAATCAACACACCTAAAGTTTTAATCTACGCAAAAACTACGCAGTTCATCACCAAATCTGTTTCTCATATTCGCATTAAAGTCCCCCAGAACAAACACAGACTCGACACTACTTTCTTTCACAATGGCATGAATTTTACCAAAGCACTCTGAAAATTCAACTAGATTATCTAACGAACCACTGACGTCAGTAGGCATGTATACTGTAAATAACAGAAACGATCTGTCAGCTATCTGCACTTTTATGGCCGCCAAACGATCACTACTGCACACAATAACTGATACATTATTAAATACACTCTTGCGCCATAAAATCCCAACCCACCCCTTACGGACGGCCCCGCAGTACACCTTTCGACGTATCCACAGCTGATTTTCCTGTAAATGCAAAATCAGGGCTGATTGTACCTAATATGGGTATATCGTGAGGCAATAACCAAGTCTCTTGAAGGCAGACAAAATCAGCTGATTGGCATAACAATCTCACACTATCAATCGCTTTAGTTACTAATTTACAGTTGTATGTACAAAATGTAGTGTTATATAGTGATGCATTATTGTTATCCATTATTTTTAATACCATTTTCATTTCTAATCAATTTTTTCTGTTCGTCATTTCTAATGTAAACAAAACGTCTAAAAGATACCCCCGCAGGCCAGAGATCCTCATTGAAGAACAACGGTAATTTAGGGTGTGGTACAAAAATTTTATATGCGCTGTAACCTCTTTCTCGTTTGATATTAATTTTTTTAAGTGGCCCAACACTATTGTTGGATGATTTTTTCGAAAAATTTTAAATAGTTGAAGATAGATAGTTCCGGAAAAAATTCTAAAAAATATAAGGCCATATTATGTTCTCTGTCTACAAATATCTTTTGAAGTTTTTTTTAGCGTGAATAAAATTGTAAGTATAGCTGAATGCAAGTTAGAGAAACACGAGATTTAAAATGATTGGACCACAGCGAAAAAAACCTTTGTAATGGCTCCATCGTTTTCGTTCAGTAACTTCAACTTTTCACAACTGTGAATGACAAATGTGGAAAAATATTTATCTTTCTGAAAAATATGATTTTTTCAAATTGGAAATTTTTCCATGACTATTTGTGGATAACTCTGCTGTCCCCTTCGCTTCTCTGATACTCTCTTACTAAGCATCTCTCGTACTTCTAATGTTTAATTTTAACCCTTTTACCGTTTTTGCGGTCGGACTGCGGGGTTCTCTCCCTGAATCGATTTAAGGTTCCCCTTCTCTTGATTCCTTCAAACAACATGTCAGAGATTCCTCAACTCCTAAGTTTTGTCTTTTCTCCATTATCCTTCCATTTATTTCTTATACTTAATTTTTCCTTTTCCTTTTAAAGCATTTAATATTACTATTTATATATTTTATATTTTTTGAATTGAAATTCAATTTTTTTTTTTAAATTACTCGACTACG